AGATGAAAGTTCATTTATTATCCAATTACTGAAAACATTTCCTGGATGCAGACTATGCCAGGCACTGGGGATACTCAAATTAAGAAGACATAGTCCTTTATCTCGAGGAATTAAAAGTTGAGTAGGGAGACATACATATAGACATTCATAAACCAGTGACGCAGAAGGCGCCCCTGAAGCTCCAGAGAGTGATGCTCAGCTTCGCCGGCTTCCTGATCCTTCCCTTTTATTACCCTCCACCGTTATTGGCAACTTGAGCTCTATTATCATCATCACTGGCATGAAACCATGACTGTAAGTGAAGGGGAAGAGTAAGGCGAGCAGAAAATGCAACCACTGTAAAACAATGAGCACGTGCATTAAGACGAACTGAAATAGGATTATAAATCATGTAGAGAATGTTTATAGGACAGAGACTAGAGTGTGGAAAAGCACTGGACTAGGAGCAAAGAGACCTTGATTTTTACGTCTGATTAGTCCCCTAAATAGATGTGACACTAAGCAGGCCACTGAGTCCTCTGTGCCTCAGCAATTTCACCTTTACAATGACTGAACCAGGCAAGACAGCCTCCAAGCCCTTTCCAGTATTACAGCCCTTTTGATTCTATAATTTTCAGGGTGCAAAACAGGGAGGGGGAATTTCAAATGCATCTTATATTGGCAAAAACAGTTCACCTGATGTTGAGAATGGAAGTTGGTATATAGATGTAAAGTCTAAAGACAAGGAGTGATGGTAGCTACAAGCGGTGTTTTGAGCAAAATCAGAATTCTTTAGGATTTACGACCTTATAATACGTGTTATGTCAACCTTCCATTTGAAATAATGATGATGCTTTAGGCTAAAATGAAATGCTTAGAGTGGGGTTGGGGTTCAGAAAAAGTTTATCCTTTGTTAGCATACAGCTCTGCACGGTGGATGTTTGGATCCGAGCCCCAGGCTTCCGATTTGGCTCTCTGCTGGCCCCTGACACTGCCAACATTCCCTAAGCCCTTCAAACCTCCACTTTCTCATCTGAAAACTGGTATAAAATAACGCTGGCCTCTCCTAGGACAAAAACAGCGAGGACGACTAAACAGTGTACAGCATTAGTCTTGCTATGTAATAATCACTTGTGTACACAGCATACCTAAGAAATCAGAGTTGGCAGTGTGTCTAACAGATCAACACTATAAATGATAAAGCTACTCCAAGTTATTTTATTTCAAAAATGATTAATCAGTATAAGATTTCATATTTTCCCTTTGAAAATACCTAAAAAAGAAAAAAGAAAAATACTTATACCTTGTCTGTGGAAATGGGGAAAAAAAATCCTTTCAGATGTGTGTAAATTCTATATATAATAAGATAGATTAATATCAAAAGTCTTTAAAAATGTGAAAACAGAATTCATGTTTTCCAAGCAAAGCTCTCTTAGAAATGAGAGAGTTACAAAGTGAACTGATAATAAACAGAAACAGAAGGAACAGAGTTCTAGATTAAATCAGTGAACCAAAAAAACCCCACAAAAAACTGTCTGTACAAACAGGGACCAGACTCACCCACAGGAGCCACCGGTCCATCCGTATGGGCTCCGTTCGGGAGCCAGAGCCTCCCATCACCGTGGGGTTACAAAATGCCGACATGAGCTTCAGATATGAATCTTAGGACTAAAAAGTGGTTACGCTCTGCTCCTTTCCGAAACACGGCTTAGCAATAACTGCGGGTGCTACTGCTTCCTAGAACTTACTCAACTCTCAGTGCCCTAGCATGGTGAGTTGTGAAAAAGGAGACATTCTAGAAATCTGGAGTTATTAGCAGGTTAGAGTTTTTCAAGGGTTAAACTCTGCTTTATCTTCATGTTACAACAGGTCTCCCTGGGCAGGGAGGACGCGACTTACACTGGGCCCGCCTCCGTGCATCTTCAGAGCGCGCACTGTTGCCACGAGCACCACGACGTTGGGCACCAGACCAGACGCTCGACACTTGATGTTGAAGAACTTCTCCATGCCAATGTCAGCACCAAAGCCGGCTTCAGTTACTGTGGAGAATCAAG